GTAGGGTTGATGAGTGTTAGACAGTGCTTGTTGGTTTTGAGATCACAAACGGCTCCAACTGTGGCTAAGAAGGCTCTTCCAAGTAGTAGAGAAGTCTTGAAGTTGAACTTGTTGGCTAAAACATGGAAGTCCATAGGAATTAGGGTTTCTCCAATCTGTACCTCAAGGTTTCTAACTATTCCTCCAGAGCTCTGCTGAGAACAATCCACAAAGATGAAGGATTCTTCACTAGGCTCGATCTTCAGACCTAGCTGGTCTGCCATAAGCTTGGGTAGGATGCTGACTCCAGATCCTGTATCACAAAGGGCACGAGGGAACTCAACACCTCTGATAGAACATGGTATTGTGAAGTTCCCTTGATCGCTCTTCTTCTCCAGTGTGGTCTTCTTCTTAAGACTGTCTTTGACTTGATGAAACATCCTCCTTATGTCTTCTTCTGTCTCTCTTGTTTCTCTGAAAAACATCCACAATCTGTGTGAAAAGTAGGCTTCTTCAAAAGGTTTCTCTTTAGGTATTCTGAGAACTCTTTTTCTGAAGCTTGACAATTCTTTCTCATTAACTTCCCTTTTATAAGGCTTCGGTATCTTCTCTTTTCTTTTTCTGAGAACTCTTCCAGCAGTTTCCTTTTCTATCTCCATGGACTCAAAGATATCCGTGGGTCTCTCCAAGATGGCTTTCTGAGGGCTTCTAGTAGTGTAATATCGCTCCCGGAATGTGTCAATACGTGCACCATCTATCTTGGGGAGTTGCACTCGGCGGTGGGGTACCGTGTATTGGCCGACACTGACTGGAGTGCGTCGATCGATAGCATGGTCTTCCTGTCGATCGATAGGATGGTAATCATGTCGGTCGATGTCTTGCGGTTCGGTCTTAATAGGGACGGGCGGATGTGGGTGACGTTCTGCGAAGGCTTCGTGAGTCATAGTCTGGACGGTACTGCACTCGTACGGGTACTCGTCTAAGTCCATCGATCGACACTCATCAAAGTCTATCGATCAATGTACATGGGAACGTATTGGTCGATGATCACGGGGTGATATCGATCGATAGTACTCGCGAACGAAGTCTCTCTCATCATCAGATTGCTGAATCTCTTCTATTACCTCTTGCCAAAAATCATCATCCAGGATGGCATTGATGTTATTGTTGTTGGCAAGCTCCTGCTTCCTGTGGGCTTCTACTGTCTGAAACACCTGAGTCTCCAGCTTCTTCATATGGGTGTTTAAACCATTTAGCTCTTTTTGGAGGGTGTTGTAGACGGAGTCGATCTTCCCATTGAAGTCTGTCTGGAGTTCCTGCTGACTCTCAAGGACCTTGTCAAGCATCTCCTCCAGTTTAGTATGGTGGGTGTGGGTTGGAGTAGAATGAGTTTCCATAGCTCTTGTTGTTGTTGGGGTTGCTGCTGTTGAAGGTGTTGGGCTTTTGTGAATTCTGGTTGAAGTTGCTTCTCTAGCCTGTGTAGTTTCTGTATCCTCCTTGGTTACCAGACCTCTAAAAACTAGCTCCACTGACCCAGTTCACATCTTCTTCTATATAATCTTCACCTGCAGTTTCTGCATCCTCCACTGAACAGATCTGCTTGTTTATCAACTTCTGAATGGTATCCAGCTGTGCTTGTACTTCATTGATGTATTCCTTCCCAAGGAATGATGTGGATTTTGTCTTCATGAAGTTCTTCATGATGTTGCTGGAAGCTAAATTATCAATGAGCTTCATAGCCTCTTGTGGATTCCTGGTGTTGAAGGTTCCTTCACTAGCTGTATCAAGAGCTCTCTGATAATCCAGTGTGATGCCTCTGTAGAAAGTGCAAAGAAGTTGCACTTTGCTGAAACCGTGGTGTGGGCAATCTCTTTGGTAGGACTTGAATCTTTTCCATGCATCTTTGAATGACTCTTCAGGATTCTGAGTGAATGTAGCAATCTTTTTCCTCCATTCTTCAGCGCGTGACTAATCAAAGAAGTTACGCAGGAATGCGTTCTTAATGTCACTCCAGGTTGTGAGAGAACCTTGTGGTAGTTGTCTAAGCCACTGAAAAGCTTCTCCAGATAGAGAGTACTTGAAAAGCTTGCAGAGAAGATAGTCTTGAGGGACTCCATTGGCTTTAATGACGGTTATGAGATCATCGAACCTCTCCGGATGGTCCATAGGATGCTCATTGGACAACTCACAGAAGGGTATTTGTCCTATAAGGTTGTAGTACTGCGGCTTAAGCTCGAAATCTCCTCTCTGAATAGCAGAAGGGTGGATGGCTGATCGGTTGGAATAGAACTGATCTGGACTGTTGTAGTCAGCCAAAGATCTAGCTTGGTTAGCCTCTTGTACATGTTGAATGATGTCTGTAAATGCAGTCTCTTTCTCAGGTATGATCTCCTTCTGAGCGTTCAGCTTCTGACCTGCTGCATTACGCAGGTGACCGTCTCGATCACGTAGGTCTCCATTCTCATCGGTAGTGAGAATAATAGGCGCTACCGTGTCTCGCCGGTTAGTATCGATCGATGTAAGATGAGGTATATCAATCGATGTCAGATGACAGGTATCGGTCGACGAACGGTTGTTGATGTCGAGCGATGTGGCGGTGAGAGTATCGGTCGACGTTGAAGGTGTCTCGGTCGACTGAGGTAGACAAGTATCGGTCGACAGGGATGTGTTGATGTCGATCGATGAGGAGCGTAGGTCTTTGCAGATGCTACGTTCCAAACCGTGAGGATCTTCTGAGTACAAAAGGTGTTTGTTCTTGTTGCTTCTAGTACTGCTGGGCATGTACCTGAAAAAGACAAAAAAAAAATTTGGTATCAGAAGATAATTAAAAAATGAAAGAAAAATAACCTAGACTTAATCAGATTAAAGCTAATGTTATCAAAGTTCCCCGGCAACGGCGCCTAACTTGATATCACTCAAATGTTTAACTCTAAGAAGTGAATTACTCTCTCAAATAAGAGGTTTAGGATCGAATCCACAAGGAACTAAGGAATACAATAGATATAATCTAAATGATTATGTTAGGTTGAATAGGTCTAAAATATTAAAATTGTGGGTTTGGGTGAAACAATAAAAGAAAGTAGTTAGTTTCAAGGTTGTTATTCAGATAATCAGGATTATAATGCTATAGATGTTTTAATGAATTGCTTGCAAGATATATGAGAACTTTGGTTCTTAGATAGATCTAATAGCAGTCGCTAAATCGACACATCCATTGATCTTATTGCCAGCAATATCGACCGATGTTTTGACAGTGATATCGGACGATATGGGTTGATGTCGATCGATGACTCTATAAGAGTATCGATCAATATAGCATAAGATCGAACCAAAAATGTGTTCACCAAGATCATAGACCGGCTCTCGCACAACCCTAGAGGATCTAAGCTCATGCCAAATGATTTCAGGACAATGATTAACAAGTTAAATCACATCCATGATCATACTCTAGGTAGCTACTCTAGAATAAGCATTAGGGTTCATTTGGATAATGAAAATATCAACAATTCAACATTCCATAGTTGGGGGTAATCCCTCCTAACTATTTGAACCCTAAATCTAACAAAGAAATCTACTCAGACATAGCTGAGAGATTCATAACAACTAGGTAATAATAAAAACTCATAGATAGAAGATTGAACTTTTGGTTCTTGGAACAACAAATCTCTTTGTGTGTTTCTTCTAAATCTAGAATTCTAAAACCTTTAAGAAATTAAGATGAAAAAAAATACTTTATAGAATATAACAAAGTAACAAGAAAAGTATGCAAAGCTTTTCAAGTACAAAAGGTATCAAAAAGCATGAAAAACATAAAAAGCATGTCTAGCCAAACACAATGGCAAAAACTTTAAATAAGAGTTCCATTAGGCTAAAAAAACTCGCCAGGAGCATTATTGTAATATTGGGAAGACTTGGGCTTCAAGTCGGCCAAGTTGAACTTGTTCTCCACGCATCATATTGATCGATGGTACATGGTGTACATCGATCGATGGAGTATCTCACTTCATCTTCGATACAAGTGTCATCGATCGATTACACAGAGTGTGTATCGATCGATATGTATCCTCATTGTCTGATCTTCATAGTCATCTCGGAAAAACTCTCCTTTAAACTCCAAAAGGACACCTAAATCATCATTTTACTCCAAAGTGCTCCTGAACCTGAAAACATACCTAATAGACTCCAAAACATATATAAAACTCATAAAAACATATTAAAACCATGGCTAAAAGCGGGTCAAAATCATGGTATATCAGACCGGCTGAGGTTTCTTGTCTTGATGCTATGGTTGAGGCTCTAATAGCGCTTATGTCTTCCTCGGTGCTTCCCCCCACTACCTTCTATACAAGGTTCTCTCCCTAAGTCCCTTCCAAAGGAAGTTGCTCTGGAGGCTGCTCGATGCTCTTTTGATAGTTTAGATCGAAGGACTGACCATTTTTGTAGGTTGTCAAGGATTCGCCAAAGCCTTCGAGTGGCCCTTCATTTTCTGGCAAAGAGCAGCGGTGAGGTCTTGAAATTGATCTTAAGAAACCTTATGATGAGAGTAATGCAATTATATGTGAATCCTAATAAAGTTGTTGGAATTATCGGTTGTATAACCATCTTAATTTTTAATATTTTTCATAATTTGTAATAAAATGATTAACCAGAGTTAAAAATGATATATATAATACTTTAGAAAATAATACATATTGAAGCTTAATGTTTGTCAAATTTTATATTTCTAACTGTTTATGAAAAATACTCTGCAACTTATATATCAACAAATTACAATATCACGACTCTGTTATTCAAACAACGATCTCATCTAACCAAACGACTCGGCCAGATTTTCTCTGAGACTGATTCACAACAATATGGAGATGAGATCCTAATATCTCTGAAGTCTGACCTGTTCAACAAATGGAGGTATCGAGTTCTTTATCCTAATTTTATAACATATATATTTCCAATATATACTGATCATCTCTTTTCCGTATCTACCACTCTCAACAGATTCAGACGTCATGATATAAGTTACTATGAAATTTTGTCGCGAATGGTAATGAACCTTTTTTGGTTAATTTTTTTGTTCATTCTACGTCCTTAATTATTTTGTTCTGTCTGTTTGGTATTTATTTTTCCAGTAATAACATTCTGTATCCTAAGGAAGACAAGGAGCAGAAGATCCTCCGCTACGCTTGCCGTAATTGTGATTACCAGGTCATTCTTTTTGTGTGGCTTATCCACCAAGGTCTTTTAAGTAACAATACATTGATGGAAAGAGTGAGCTTCACGGATGTATTAACTTAGTAGTAGTTATTTGACATATTTTCAGCTGAATTTCACATTATTTGTTTTCCAAGACTAAAATATAGTTTTTTCACGTAAATGGGAGTTTTCTTACTTGTCTTACGTTTCAGAATTTTTTTTCTATAATTTTCTGGTTCTGCTTGCAGGAAATAGCTGATAACTACTGCGTCCACAGAAACGAAGTTCATCACTCTGTAAGTGAAAAAACTCAGATCCTAACGGACGTGGCTTCTGACCCGACTCTTCCCCGAACCAAAGCTGTTCGTTGCGCCAAGTGTCAGCATAGAGAGGCCGTCTTCTTCCAGGTAAAATCTAGCCTATCTCCTAAAACGTATGCTCAGTTTTTTGGAACCACAACTATCATTGCATTTATTTAGCAAAAAACAAATAAAAACTATCATTGATTTGCATGTGTAGGCTACGACTAGATCTGAAGATGGAATGGCACTGTTCTTTGTATGCTGCAACCGGAATTGCGGTCATCGCTGGAGAGATTAAGAGAGATTTTCGTTTCAATTGTTAATCATAAGCCTGTGTTTTTATGAAGAATGTGGGAGTCCCGAGTCTTCGGTTAATAATCAGTTTTTAGAAATTCAGATTTATACATCAACCTATGTTTTGATGAGTTCTTGAAGGGTTTGGGACATTCACGTCATGTAATTTGTACCCAGTAGGTGTTAGATGTGGAATAATGTTAACTACCAACTTTAGTTTAAACTATATAATCAAAAACAAAAAACATTTCATAGATTAAAATAAAATATATTTGTCAATTGATCCAAACTAAACTTGAGTAAATTAATTGATACCACTTTAATTTATTGATTACTAGGGTCGACCCGCCCTACGGGCGGGATATACTTTACTGATAAAGTACGTTAAGAATTTTGTAATATTTTGTGCTTTGTATTATATGTTTGCATTGGAAAGTTTTGTTATTATGTTTTTATTTTGTAATTCTAAAAATTTTGGAGAGGTGGGATTATCTCTTTATATCATAATTTATTTTGGTTTGGTTATGGATATATCGGATATATAAATTTTGTCTTTTTAACTTATCTGGTTATTAACACAATAGTGGTTGTCGATAGGTATTAGGTCTACGATTACAGTTTAGCACAGTACATCTGCGATATGATATTAATGAGTTATAGATGTTTATATATTTCAATATTGGTGTTGTTGGCAGTGAGTGTCATATCGAATATTTCTATGTCTGTATATTGGATCTTTATTCATCGTGTAACATGGCATGTGTAAATGAGTAAATCGTATATATTGTGAACGTTTATGTGTTTTCTTGCTGTGTGTATGCGTTCATTTTGGTATGATGGTCGTTTGTTGCTTCTGTATTGCTTAGATAAGTATCTTTTGCATGCCGAGATGTTTAACTAATTTTAGCTGAGCTTATATTTTTGGAGCTGGTTTGCGTTTGTTATGAATTTTGTTGAAGTATTTTTGTCTGGTGGTTTAGGAAGTTGTTTATTTCTAATTATTTAAATATTATTTTGGTAAAGTTAATTACGTTTAATTATATTTGGGTTTTTAACAGATGGTCCAATGACGTTATTAGTTTATCTTTATTCTGTTACTTTCATTTGGTCGTAGTGGTGTTAAAACACTCTTCTTTCCAAACTTTGTATTTGTCCATACCAAATCGTTTGTTGTATAATCGAACATCACTGGATGTTTTCTCCCCCCCCCCCCCTCTTTTGATTCTCCTCTATATGTATTTTAGGTGGACTTCATATTTTATGGCGCATCGTATTTGATTAATAAAATAGATTGGATTAACAAATATTAAACGGAGAAAATAAAACTTGCAGAGATATAATTGTGATGTAATATTTTCCGCTAATGATTTAGAGATAGTGATTCTTTGTTTGGTTTCTAAATTTTAAATTCTTGTTTTCTCTTTTTTTTTTGAATTTTAGATGTTAGATATTTGTTTTTGGTTTTGAATTTTTGATTATAGATATTGGTTTTTAGATAATCTGCATTACCGAAATGTAGACAATGAATAGTTAGATTTTTTAAAAATATGGTAAAATATCTAATTTGTTTTGTAATATTATCAAACAAAAATTGTACTACAATGTAGTAAATATATAATACACTGGAAATATTTGTTCTTGATAAAAATGCATTATTTAATTATGGAGATTAGTTATCTGATTATTCTATAAATATTTGGATTTTCTAAATTTGATTTGTTATTTATATAATTATTTTTAATATAATTATTATATGTAAAATAATTTTAATAAATGTGACTCACTAAATCGAGAAATAAAAATTTAAGTATATAGATTATCAATAAAACATGTCGATTGGTTTATTCTGAAATTATTAACAAATAACTGTTAATTTTATTCCTTAGTGTATGATTTTTTATAATATTTTATAATTTTTTAGATGTAAATTTATTTGTTAACAATTGCAGCTGCCACACGAAAAGGATGACGCATTCCGGCAGAGCTTCTTGGTGCATCTTGAGCAGGATACATAGCACCATCCTTTGTCCATCTTGATCCCAGTAACCTTACTGGTACACACGAACTCAATGTCGTAGAATGCACCCATGTTAGATTTACATCCTACTACATAGTCGGGAAAATAATACATTTTAGAATTGTGTGATAAAACCTTACTATATAGTGGGGAAAATACTACATTATAGAACTGTGTGATACAACCTGAGGTTTGGCGGTTATGATAAACTCATTCAGCTCCGAGATGCTCAAAGGCTAAATCTTCCCATATCCTCTGAGCAATGTAGGAACTGGAGTGCTTCCAGTGTCTCTGGACACCAGTCTACAGAATTGTGAGTTACACGTCAGACAATGTCATGGATTACGATTATGTGAAAATATAGTGAGACATATAACGCTGGAACCACTAAAAACTTACTCGTAGAACATAATTCCCTCTGCAGAAGTCTCTTTATCGAAAAATATGAATTGCTGACGTTGCGTTCAAAAACAAACGTCCTACAAACACAGATTTAATATCGATTCAGAAATATGTTTGGTGTTTTCAAGTGCAAATAGTTTTTAAAGTAGAATCATAACCTCTAAATTACATGACTCAGTACTTTATTTAGAAGAAGAATTGTACCTCCAACAACTTTAGGATTGATGTTTGTTGCCACCACCTCTAGGATCACCTCCAAAGCCTTCCAGTTTCTTGTGGAAAGAGACGGCTTGTGAATCAAACAGGCTCACTGTCACAGTAATATCACTGCCAAGGGATAAACAGTTAAATTAAATGATCAACCCATATTTCTACAATAGACTTCATATAGAGTAAATGGCGTTATTTAGTAAGACACCTACTTATTAATTTCGCAGTTGCCATAACACGTTCATTGCTCTGAGGACCGTCACCTACTGTACTCTCACAGCGGTGAGCTCCCCTATAATATCTGAAAGTCACTGAAAAGGATTATTATCTTATCTGACAATTACAATTATTAGGCTGGAAGGAAACTTTAAAAATATTTCGTACCTGGGAGTTGTGTATTGGTATTAGCCAGGACGTACAGGGAATCGTGATCACGGAATCTAAACCGCTCCTCAGGTGTCGGAGCCACCGGTTCGGTTAATTCCACAAATGCAAATGCAGTCGAATCACTAAACCGGATCATTAGAGCCGAGTCGGTTAACCTAAAATTCTGGTTGCACCTTGCCACATCATACCGGCTCAATGAGAAAAGAGATCCAGCCTTCAGACGTGGTCGGAACGTGTCAAGACGGTTGACATTCACAGTTGCCGGCATGAGAGTTACTGCAAAATTAAATGGCAAAAAAAAAAGTGTGATTAAAGTTTCATCACTGAAAGGTTTTTCATTAGGATCTGAGAACAGAGCTTCAAATTCATATTGTTCAAGAAAATTGAGAAAATTATATGAAAAAAAAAAAAAACATGACTAAACATTAATCATTCAAAGGTAATTCATTTAGATCGTAGAATTTTTAAGCGTATCTGGAAAATTATATGAAGACAAACAAAAAAAACATTATTTAAGATTCATCATTCCAAGGTGTTTCAAATAGATCGTATAATAGAGTTCCAAATATAACTGTTTTTAATAGCTCTGGATAATTATATGAGGAACAAACCAAAAACATGATTACAGATTCGTGTTTCATTTAGAACTGAGAATGGTTTTTCAAATTTTCATGTGTTTAATCAAGAAAATCTGTGATATAAATAAGGTTGAGTTAATTGATGAACGGAATACCTGAGAGTAGATGAAGATCATATCAACGCCCATTAGTTCTCCACCGCAACGTACTTTTTTGCTTCCCAGAAACGGAGCCGGACTTCAACCCTCGACAAAGAACGACCTGCCACCCAAATCCCGGAGAAACCACAACAACCTAAACATAATAATCTCGAAGAAAGACCTGCCACTATAATAATTACTTTCAGTTTCAGTGAGAAACCAAAACAACCTAAACATTAAAATCTTAGTAAAATCAAAGAATAGACACTCAGAAAGAGGATAACTGTACAAAAAGAGATATGAAGAGAATATGATTTCAGGCAGAGGATTACTGACCTATTTATACTCGCAAATTACACCGACTTCGCGATGTAATCCACGCATTGAAGACTTCATTGTGGTTGATTGAAGGATTAATCACGAAGAAGTCACCGTTTCAGCGATAGGGATGAAAATCAGAAGTCACAATAGGAAAAAGGAGAGAGACAACCGTGAATTACTTTGCGTCAATACAATTAGGGAACACTAAATGGGCTATTGGGCTGTATTTTGTTTTTTGAAACAAAGAAGAGAGACAAACCGTAGCCCAATAACACGTAGAATTGTATTGTGTAATGAAATAAACCCAACTCAACAGGGTACATGTCTTAATGAAACGGTGCGTATTGCGGCAAGGGACACATGGCAGAACGGGAGACTTCGATTTGATGAGCTGGCAATAGCAGGAGGGAGTAAACTCTTCTTTATATATATAGATTCATATTTCCAAAACATTATATAACAAAGTATACAGTATACTTACAATCTAAGAAAGCAAATTTAACTAAAATCATTTAACAAAATTAATCTGATTTTACCTATTTAGAACTAGGTTTGGGCAAAAAAATCGGAATCGAACCGAAATATCTGATACCGGATCCGAACCCGAACCCGAACCCTCAAATATCCGAACGGTTCTTATAAGAGAAATTGCCAGAAATAACACTTTCAAAATACCACTTTTCAACTTTACACTAATCAACTTTACCATTAAAATTTTAATTCGCAAAATACTATTATACCCTTGACTAATTAAACTTAACAATTTTAATAAGATTTTGATGGATTAGGATTTAGGGTTAAGAATTTAGGGTTTAGAGTTTAGGGTATAGAATTTAAGGTTTAGGGTTTATAATTTAGGGTTTAGGATTTCAAATTTAGGGTTTAGCGTTTAGAATTTAGGGTTTATAATTTTAGGGTTAGGGGTTAAAATTTAGAGTTTAAGGTTTAG